AGCCTGAGCACAGTGCCAGGGTGATTGAAAATAACTTGTAAGAATAGGTAGGCACATCTATTTTATTTATTTTATTGATGAGAAATACCAGTGTGTTGTTCCACTTACTTATGCATTAATTGGTTGCTCCTTGGACGTGCCCTGACCGGGAATCACACCTGCAACCTCAGCGTATCGGGACAGTGTTCTAACTAACCGAGCCAGCGGGCCAGGGCAGAGGCACAGCCCATTTGGAATCGTTTGTGAAGTTTGCAATGTGACGTAACTCCTCCACTCCCCTGCGCCTAAGGCTCCTTTCCCAGCTCATTAACCTTACTGTTCTCACCAATGCCTTGTGAATGGTGGTCAGCTGTTAGGTGTGACTATATGACTTCTTACCCACCAAAATGTGATGTCACTGTTAGGAGAAAATACTAGAAGATAGCTGATCTTGTACTCACTTTCCCTCTGTCACAGCAACTGACAACATTCCGAATGGTAGCTTGGTCCGTGATGGGAAGCAGAGCCCCATGCTACACACAATGTAGGGTAAGTTGTCCTAAATTACCTATTTTGGGGACCATTTGTATTGCAGAATAGCATATAATTCCAATATCCAATCAATTACTGTCCTGTCAATTTTATCTCGGACATCCTGACTTCCACTCTTACAGCATAACATTCCCTCACCTGCGTTACCCTAGTGATGTCCTAACTCATCAGCAAGTCTTTCCTTCCTTCCGACCTCAACTGCAGATCATCTTTCAAAAGTACAAATCTGATCACATGACTGCAATCATCCCCAAAATTAAATCTGAACTGTTCACAGGCCTCCTATAATCGGCCCTTCCTAGACTCTCACTGCTCTTTATATTCCAAACTGCAATACTCAGCTTCTGATTACACCATGACCCCTTGTCTCGATGCTTGTCAATTCTGTTCCCACTCCAGAGCGCATGGCTTCCTTGGCTTAGGCTTGTCCTGATTCCCGGACCAGGAACCTCTGTGCCACATATCACACTACTTAATACAACGTATGCAGTGTTTTTCTAGACACTGTCCTCGATGTTAAGCACTGAGTGCTAAAGAATAAAAGGTAACTGGCTTTGCCGTGAATGATCCCTTTACAGGACGGGAGCCTGGTAATGCGCTGGTATCAGTCTTGGCCTGCAGAGCGCTGCGAGCGTGGGCTGTGGTGGTGCAGACCCAGGGCTCGAATCTGAGCAGCCACAGTGCTCATCTGATACTACCTGATGGTACCCAGAGGACAGTTGATGCTGAAGCAAATTTCTAAGTCTTTTAAAAGCAGATTTTAAAGAATTGTTTTCAAGGTTTCCAAACTCAGCATTCTGAACTTACTCAAACTGCTGACCAGTCAGCCTCATTAATATTCCAGTAATACCGTGTAAAAGAAAGGTAACATTTATGGTCATGCCAATTCTCTCAAATGGGACTGAAACAGTTCAGAAGCTTGAAAGACTACTCGCTCAGTGGTCGTTTCAAATAGGCAATTTGTGGTAGCTTTTCTGCCACATGCAATCACCATCAGTCTTTAAAATCCTATATGAAGGTATCAAGAGTCATAAAGAAGAGCTTTACTGTCTCCAAACATCAACTGATCTTAGGAAAGTAGCAAAAACCTGCTAGTCAGCTTAATTTTAACAGCTGCCTTCAAAATTCAAATATGTTTAAGAATTACATAATATATCACTATTTGGCATGTCTTTATAAGCTAAATAGGAAACTACCCATACTAGTTCAAAAAAGTAAATTAATGGACAAACTCTTTTTGAAGAGAATGTAAATGAATAATTTTGAAAGTCCATTTACTCTTTTTATAAGAATTCAAATACACCAGTTGCTCATGGCTTCTGTTCTAACCTTATTTGTATAGTATACTGATTCCAAAGCCCTCAAACTGCTGCATAACTCTCTAGAGCAGTAGCTCCTTTATACTCTTAAGTATGCAGAAAGCATTTTATACCCATAGAAAAACAGTATGTTAAAGGATTTAATAAGGACCATCCATTTAAAGCAGAGGTAACAGTATATAGAGTAGAAACCTATTTTCACTAAATCATGACAGTTTTAAATAACTGGTGGATGAAAAGAGGTTAATTAAAAGCAGTACTTAAATCGAGTTAGGAAGCTAAAGACGACACTCAAAAATGTCTGGAAACTTCTATATGTATATGATCTCAGCCGGCTGTAGCTGCTAGCAAGAAAAATCTTTTTCTAAAACAGTGGCTCTCAATTGAGGCAATTCTGCGCCTCACCACATCCTTCCCTGGGGACGTTTGGCAATAGCTGGAGCAGGTTTGGGCCGTCACAGACTCCAGTAGGAGGGGGTGGTACTAGCGGTATCTAATGGGTAGAGGCCAGCGAAGCCAGTGCCTTACACTGCGGAGGGCACGCCCCAGGACAGGATTATCCAGTCCCGAATGTCAGCAGTGCCAATTGCTCAAATCCTGATCTAAAAAGAACATGCATTTTTCTATTAAAGTATAAATTCTGGAGGAAAGCATGGATTTTTACTTCTGGAATAAGGAACCAGGAGTTTATTTCCAGGTTTTCAAGGAAGGCCTTAATTCATGGACGGTTAACGATTCTAAGCAAGATGCACATTTGTGTCTTTTAAAAATACGCCAAGATTACAGTAAGCTACCACCACACATTTAAGCTGCCCTTACCTAAGTAAGCAGTGGCTTTATATTAATAAAGTAGAATGTCTGTGAGACAGCTTTACAGGGCAATAGGATTATTACAGGCCATTAAAACATGAGGTTATCATAGTACTGTACATTAACCAGTTCTGGAGTACAATTCTTTAGACTTTTTTGTGTGAGAGAGAGCACTCTAACATAAAATCACTAACTTGTGTGTCAACCATGAGTTACTGATAACGGCCAAATACACCAATTCCAATACTCCCTAACCCAAAGAATTTCATTTCACAGAATACAATCTTTTTCTCTTCTAAAACCTAAATGAAACAATTCAGTTTGCCAAAATCACCACGGATAATCATTTAAGATCAGAATAAAAAGGAATGAAAAGGTCAGGATATTAAGACTTGTTCTACTAAAAATCATCCTGACTCCTGGTACACACTGACATGATCTAAGAAAGTAAAATTATCTGCAATACTCCCCTCAGTAGTTTTAATTGAAGTTGGTTTTTGTTATTAAAAAAAACATTTTGAATTAGAGCTAACTTCCTAAGTTACAAAGAGCAGTAACATGTTGCTGATAGATCTTGTCTTAAATTACAGTACAAGTGTTCACAAGTCTTATATTTCTAGTATTAATAGGAAAATAAAGCAACTTACTGTAAAAGGGAAATATGGTACCATCTGGTGAGCTTGTGGCAGCTTGCCACCAGATACTTCCATTGTGTTCCATTTTTGCAACCAACGGTATCAAAGGACAGTTTTCACCAACTGGAAAAGTCAGTTAAATCTGAACTATCCTTTTTCCAAACAATAAAATGAACACTGTACTGTCCATTTTCCATTCCACAGAGGATTGAGATTTCAAAAACAGATGTGAACCTGGGGTGGCAGTGGCTTAAAAATTGGAATTCAATTTAAGATAGAACTAAAACCCAGAATTTATTTCCTAAAATTTTTAAGCTCTTTAATACCAAAACATTTATTAAGCATATTATACCTAGGGATTGGCAGTTAATTTTAACAATTTATTTTCGGTAAATTTTAGAAGGCAGAAATGGCCCTGGCTGGTGTGGCTCTGTCGGTTGGAGCAGGGTCCTGTACACTGAAAGGTTGTGGGTTTGATTCCAGTCAGGGCACACACCCAGGTTGCAGGTTCCATCCCAGTGGAGCATGTGTGGGAGGCAACCAATGGATGTTTCTCTCTCTCTTTTCCTCTCTCTTAAAATCAATAAAAGCATGTCCTTGGGTGAGGTTTAAAAAAATAAAAAATAAAAATAAAGTGAGCAGAAATGTTCAACTTCTTAAATTGTGAGGTATTACTATATACTTTGCAGTGATTAATTATAATTTACTAGGTCTCTTAACCAGTTAATTGAATTTTTCAATGAGGATTATGTATATTTCATTGTTCTGAACTTCAATCATGCCTATATAATTCATATTCAGTTGATGTCTGACACTGAGCTAGATATAAAGGTATCAGAATATCCCTTAGAACTGGTTAAATTAGATATGCTATTTCTTTACCTTTTACCCAACAAGTGTAAAAAAAATGAGACAACCAATTTGGTTATTTAACTAGGGTTACATAAAAACTATGTAAATATTCAAACATTTGATGATGTCATTGTACTCCAACCTTCTAAGAATTCTAATTCCCAATGGTTAGGAAGCTTTAGGTACCATTAATGAATATATGACCATCATTTGTAAAATTATCATTCAATGCTATTGATTTTATAAATATTTTATAAATATTTTATTGGTTAGGCTTTGCCATGCCAAATTTCCTTTCTGCCTTAGTTTCATAAAATGACCTAACCCCTCAAAAAGAAATCAGGTAAATCCAAACAATTGAAACATCCTCAAGAAAATCAGCACACAGCTGTATTCTTACCATTAACTTTTAAACCCCCTGAAGAACCTACATATGTAAAGATGCTAAGCTGAACTTGCTAATAAATCTTAAAAGACCAGTAGGCAGTATGAGTGGCAGTCTAGGTATGACTGGACCTCACACCTTGCAACCCCACACCATTATCAGGACATCAGCATTAGAAGTATGGGGTTAATCAGTATGACTTGGCATTTAAAATCTGAGTATTCTGTTACTAATTTTATGTATGTGAATATACATTATAAATGTAAACTACATCTACTACTAAAAAGAGCAGAATCTATTTCTTTGTATTAAAAGACAGAATTTCAGCTATATTAAAAAAAATTAGCCATCTTGCAAAACTTAAAAAAAAAGTGTATCTTGGAAGTTTTTTTAAAAAGGGAGAAATCCAATACATGAAAGTATTTGAATTTAACTTTAGATAATTAACTAAGACATTCACACAACATATGCATGTCAGTCTCCTATTTGGTCCTAGAGCCTGCAGTATTGTAATTTATTGTGAAACCATGTAACCAAGTACTTAAATATATCCACAACATCTCTATCACGGTCATGTATAGTACATAATATACTAACATCTCAAAATAAATTTCTATTACAGTTTTATGCAAATTATGGTATAAGATTACCACCTGCCACATTCTGAAAATGGCACCAACTTCATGTAATGTTCCATTATCAATGTACTACTCAAAATCCTTACTGGTAATGATGTTTTATGCATTATCATCTGAATATTTGAAATTAAGCTGCTAATCTAATAACCACAGTGTCACCAATTCAAATCACTGCATACTTGGATGTTAAAGCAGGTAAGTAATACAGCAGGAAAAATATTTCTAATTCACAGTTTCAAAAATAAAGGGTGCAGTTTTCAAATATCTGATTGCTTAAAACTGGTCACTAAATTTAACAACTGCCTCCTTCACATGTAAACTATGTTTGCACAGCATTAGGAGATGTCTTTATTTCAGAAGTTAGTTCTTACTGTTACAGGAGCACCACAAATTTGAAGGAAGAGGCTACAGTGTGAAATGAGTTCACTGAAAGATATGTTAAATAAAATTTCAACTATGATGTAAGGTACTGCAAAGCTTTGTTTCCCCCAGCAGAGACCCCTTAATCAGGAAAAGTGGTCAGCGTTTACCAAATACAGTATGTAAACTAGCTCTACAAGAGAAGGGGAAATCTAACTCAACTAAAAGAAAATGCTATTATCAGCTAACAAACCTGTGAGAGCCGGTTTCAGAATTTTCCTAAAACTAAAATTTAAAAGCATACACAGTATTTGTATCCTTCAACAAAGGGATGGAGAGATCCAAAGGGAATGAAAGAAAAAACTGGCCTTAAGAATTTAATTTCTACGTGGCAACACACACACAAATGGGTAACTGAGAAAAACTGTGTACTTAAGTATTCAAATTTTAAATGTGTAAGAAAATTTATAATAGAAAAAAGTGGCATATTGTTACTGTGACTTGATTTGCTGGAAACATTGCAAATTCACACTGGCACTAAGAAAACCAAAGTTTCAAAAATTTACTCCTCATTCTCTCTCCAGATATGTTTTCTGTGCAAAAATAAATATCTGCAAATTGCACTAATACAATACTTATTGTAACTTTTGTATTATGAATAATCTGCACATGCGGCTTTACAGACAATACATATTTGTAAACTTGTTCATGCAAAATTAGTGTGCGCAACAGGGATATTTTTAATCCCTATACTTTAAAAAAATGATACCTTATTATCTTTTTTAAATTGCCAAACCCTCTGAAATGTAACAAATCTTACACAGATATTCTTATCTGCCAGCTAAAAATCAATTTACGTTGCTGAAACAAAAAGTTATACAAGAAAAAGAAACATGGTTTTTGTCTTGCAGAATTTTTGATTTTTAAATATGAGAAATTTTATAAAAGAAAGAAATTCATGGTCACAAAATTTGAACATTTTAATCCTAAACATTACAGGGCAAGTAGATCCCGGACCCTACCTCCATATTCCATAAATCCTAACTTTTGGTTTCCATTTTAAATGTTGCCCTAACCACTAAAAACATTAGTGGTTTTACAACCTCTGGGTTATGGAAATACGTATTTCTGAAATAAATGTTACAAAAACAAAAATGGAAGTAAGCCAAACTGTCTCCATGAAGGAAAAAAAAGTGGAACATTTTGAAGCTTTTAGACACTTCTCTTTCCATGTCTTATGATTAACCTGTCGATTCAGTGCATCATAAGGTCAATGTCATGGTCCCCATGTTGAACAAACATCTAACTAGTGTCCATTGATTCCAAGTTAGTGGATGATGAATCTTTTTGGATACTTTCAAAGATGGCTGCCAGCTCAGGGTTAGAGCTGATCTGCGACTGGAATTCACTCATCAGTGGACTCTTCTCTGCTTCTGGAATGGTTAGCAGTGCTGCTACTGCTCTCATAGCAGATCGCTTTAGTTCGTCTTGCTTTTCAAACTCCTGCTTTACTGAGTTTGCCTTTACCTGTAAGATTGAGTAAATTTATGATATGCTATAAAAGATAAGCTCTTATACACACAAAATTTAAGCACCTAGAAATTTCTGGTAAATAAAGCAAAGCTGCTTTCATAGGTCCCAAAGTCATGTTGTATTCTAAGCATAGTTGTCTTTAAACTTCTTTTTAGCCGTAGCTTGCCTCCTTTAAGGGAATAAAGCCCATTAGGAAAACAAAATCCAGAGCCATATTGTTGAAAGAGGAAGTATCTGAGCTATAATATTCAGCAAGTCCTACTTTGGCCTCCACCAACAAACTACTACTTTAGACACCCTGTTCATTCATTATTCTTCAAACACATCATGTACTGACATCTCTGTGCCTTACTTCATATAATTATTTTCATATCCTGTTTTACCTTCTGAATCTAAAAGCATTTCTGACTTTTTAAGGTCCATTTTAAATGTCATCATGTTCATATGAAGTCTTCTATGATTACCCCACCCCCAACCAGAATTAAACATTTCCTTTTTTGTGAATCTATCTCACTTTACCCTGTATCAGTACTTCAAAATGTATATCATACTGCAATTATTATAAATAAAAACTAAAGAACAGCATTAAATAGTGCACAGTTTTCTAAAACATCCACATTCAATAGGTTAACTTTCAAAACCTACTGCTACATATGGTGCTAGCATGATGAGGACAACTAACAGTGTAAAATCAACTAGGAATCCTGAATACAGCAAGTCTGGTCGAAGCTGATGTCTACCAATGATTAGTTGTTCATGAATGATTACCTTAGTTGTACATGTGGCACGTAATGGCTCAACAAGCCGGTCCAACCTCTGCAGTACTGCACTTGGACAAAGGGTGGACAGTCTCACCAACATTAAAAATGTTAACATCTATTATGAATAAAAAAAGACAGAATTTAGACCTTGTGTTATTTTCTGAAGACAATTCCAAATTCTACAAAGATTTTGATTTTTTTCTAACAAAGCTTTCAAAAGGAAAATGACTAGCATGCACCATAAAGTTTCATTTTAGTGTGATCAGTCTCAGAGTTGTAGCAAACCTTATCTGGGGAATTTGAGTTACAAGTACTAGAGAGACCTCATTTACAATGTGGTCCTAGTGTACAGAACTAGAAAAGTGGTTCTCAATCTTGGCCACTCATTAGAACTGGGGAACTTTGCCCTGTTCCCAGAGACTTTTAATAAGAAATAACTGAACCAGGAGAAAAGCTTTCTTAGTTTCTACTATCTTAGCAGATTTTCCTTTTAAAAACAAAAAACAAACTGGTTATTCAGATTTATCCATAGAAAGCCAAGTAACCCATAATCTTTTTTCTCTTGGACTATAAACTGTAGAATTAAACAGGAAGATCCTATTACTTCCTTAGGGGCTCTTTTTAATAGGTTCTGGTAAAGGTCAGGTTACTACTACATATGAAAATAAGAAGTTGGAGCTCTGAGTTTGGCTGCATAACTGCTCAACTACCACTTTTGCCTGCTTGACCAAAGGCCATGCATGCAAAAGAAAAAAAGGCAATGCACTTACTATTTTTCAATTCCCCCTTTAACAGTTCACATTTGAAACGGACATGATCAAATAGGAAAAACAAAGAGCAGATATGAGCAAAATTCATGCTCTAAACCTAAAAGGTGGTATATTTCTCTTCTAGTTGCTTCCACAAAGATTGCTTTAGGTATCTGACAATAGTTCTTGCATGTTATCCTTTAACAAAATTCTTGATATTACACCAGCATATTAGATTGGAAAACAAAAATCTTCATTCAGGCAATAATACGGTCATCATGCAGAATGACAGAAAACCCTCGACTGGTTTACCGCAGCACAGTTTTGAGACAGGCCAAAGAGATCAGATTATACTCTGAACTGCAAACCTGTCTGGACTCTTCTTTGGTGGGAAGGCATCTAGGGACTACGCACTAAGCAAGCTGGCAAAGAATTTCTTTGACTTTCCATCCACTTAGACTAGACCTCCTCCTCCAAGGAAAAGGTTGCTGGATTTTTTTCTATATGTCAACTGATGTTACAATTGTACCACTATTACTTTTGCATATTATAGTCCATGACAAGCCAAGCAATTTTTCTCACTTAACAGACAAAAGTAAATTATAAGGGTAAAAGTCACTGCAGCTAAGTCTTCTAAAACATTCTATAAAGAGACACAAACATCTTACCTTAATATCATAATGGTCCTTCAAACCATCTTCAACATGATTTAGAAATTCAAAGATATCTAGCCTATCAAGACAACTGTCTAGAAGTGTGTACATACACTCAAAAGCTGCCTTTCTAATATCCAGGCCGTCATCAACTGTATGTTTAAATGGACCCATTTCTACCTGTTGAGACATAAAAGAGTATGTACATATACTTAAAAGTAAAAGATAATCTTAGAGAAAATGTAATCTAACAAACTAGCTTACCTCTCTTATAAGCTCCTTTCTAACTTTTGTTTCATTGTAAAGATGTGGAAGAACAGTATCTAGAAGATCCCTTATTAAAGATGGCTTATTATGTGCCGCTGAATTGAATGTGACCAAGGCTACTCTTCTTACATTCAAATCTGGGTCTTCCAACGTTTTTAGGAAATCACCTGAAAAATTTTAAGAGAAGCAACATACAATTAAGGTAAGCTTAAAAGAAAATATACATTATGCTTTTTTCTAAATTGATAGTTTATTGTTGTTGGTATTATTTGTTCAATGCAGGTCAGGAAAGAACATGATGAAATACTCAGTGAACTATATAGTTTCTTTTAGCAGCAGGTAAACTATCGTGTCTCAATGTGAGTGGATTTAATTGATAATTTGCTCTTGTGTACCTATAATACAGATACATAGTGACACTGAGTCATGAAAGTTCCCTAATTACTTTGTAGATAGTTTATAAAAAAGGTGGGTTGCAAAGAGAAGTGATGAACTCAGCAAGCACAGGATCTAGTAACTTGAGTGACTATCCTTAGAGTTCAAAATAAGATAAGGTGAGGACAGATCCACTGCTTGATAAAGATGGAATACTGTTAATAAGTACACAATTTATCAGATGACAAAGAGGAATGTGCCTCCAAAAGTCCTATTTTTATTTGTATCTTTAACAAGAAATATACAAATTGGTAAGAGGATAGAATACAAAAGGAGGAAACTGAAACCTAACATAGGACTAAAAGCTAAAGCACCTAGGCACTTTAAAACAGACAGAGACCTGGTTTTCTAACAAATGTGGGGAAGGAATTATAGTGCAAAGATCTTTGGAGTCCTACAGATGATGATCCAAACCGCTTCATTTGTCAATTGTATGACTTTTGGTAAGTTCCTTTAGGCAAAAGTCTCGGTGTCCCAGTTTATAAAATGAGAATTATAAACCTTTAGGGCTACTGAGCAGAATAAATACCATGTATATTGTTGAACGATGTCTGGTATGCAGCTGGTATTCACCTGGAACTATCATTACATAATCTCAACTCTACCATCTGCAATCTTATAGAATTCACAGGGAAAAAGAGAAGTGCTAGAAGACTTAAATGTATTACAACAGCAATTTGAAAAAATGGTAAGAAAGAAATACTTCAGACACCACAGATTGATAAACTCAATGTTGACCATCTAGGAAAGTTCTGATTACAAAAAAAGCTTAGGAGCTAGCTTGGGTTCAAAAAGAATTTAAATGTACCAGACTAAACTCTTCACCTGCTCTCTTTAGAGTTACTAAGATGATAAATTAGAATTCTAATTAAAGATGTTTTCAGTAAACCATCTAAATAAAACATTGCTATTATTATGGACAAATGATGACATGGACTAGGATCAGTGGTCCTCAACTCCTTGGTCTAGGAATTTCAGTTTCTGAAAAGCTCCCTAGGTGGTTGTAAGATGTTTATATAACCACATATAATATTGAACTAAACCATAATTCAATTAAAACGATAATCACCTGATTGAATAACTATATCAATGATGAACACTGACTGCTGTCAACCTGGAAGATGTCTCTAGAGATGTGACAGAGGTCTTTTCCTTTGTCCTATCTTATACAGTACCAAACATGAATAAATATACCAAAGGGGGGGTGATGGGAACAAAGGCAATAATCTTCTGATAGAGAATTTCTTTGAATTATTTCTAGGTCCCAGCAGTAGCACCCATTTACCCCTGTGTCCTCTTACTTTGAATTGATAATCCCTTTCTGTAATTCTTTTAAATTGTGTTTCTCCCCTTTTTGGTGCACTGTAGAATGACCTGACAATGCAAAACTTCTTTCCCATATCCCTCAATCCTCTCCGCTTGTATATCCATTCTTCTGTCCTCAAGAAAGCACAAAAGTGAGTTCTGAGGGCTTTTAGCTACTACTACCAACTCCAGGAAAACTGATGATGAAAACAACACAGGGAAGTTATGACATCATGAAAAAACAATTCTCAAAGCTAGTTCTTGTCTTCACAGAAATGGAGGGAGCCCTAGTTGTTCTGGAGTATCTCCTCTTAGTTCTTCTGGTAAAAATCTTTTTTTATTCTTAGGATGTTACATATGGAAGTCTCAATAGTTCCCCTTGGGAACTGGAGGGTTACAAATAATAACAGAAAATTGGGGCCCTAACAACTCAAGATAAGATTCATTTATCTGGGGGGAAACTTCAGGATTATTTAGATAGATCAAATACCACCCCCCATCCATTAGTTATTTTAGGCCATCCCCAAAAGATGATTATCAAATGTGTACTTGACTCTAAAGACATTCTAGCGTATTTATTAATTTCAGTTATTTGCAAAATTATCTGGTAATAATTTCAAACTAAGGGGCAACAGAATGTTAGTATATAAGATGATACATTATCAATACCTTTCTAATGAAACAATTACCAGACCCTTAAAAGCATTTTAGTTCCTTAGTGATACTTTTAGTTATTGAAATGATTTGTTTTTTCACAATTAACTACTAAATAGTTAATCAATATGTTTCCACTTACCTATGCAGTTCTTTAATAGTGGATCAATAGGTTGTGGATGATCAGAAATAGTAAACTTCACAGCTGTAACCACTGAGCTTCGAGCATATGATGAGCCTAATTAAAAATAAATTTAAACCTATTGGTATGTAAGTCTACTAAAATCCATGGATATTTTCATTTTTCAAACCACTTCAAATAACACTAGTGTCTTCAATTTTTCTAAGTTCTCTTTGGCCACAGGGTGGGGAGGTGGGTTGCTATCAGAATACGAACAAAACGGAAGCAAAGTTTACTCATGAAACAATCTCATTTTACTTCTAAAGGAACAATTTCTTCTGGGAAGAAGGCGGCCTGGGAGAGTAGCAGTGGAGGATCTAGCCTTCACAAAAGGGAATTGGTTAAATCCATAAATAGCTTATAACATCTTCAAGTTTATTTAAAAAGAAAGCAATTTCTAAGAATAAATGGTATTATTACCTTCTACTTCCTTTAAAGGGATTTATATTGGTAAATCTGAAAACTCTTCTAGGATCTTTCATTTGAACTAAAGTACACCAACTTTACTATTATAATTATTAGTAGTAAGCTCCTCAGGATATATTAATTCAAGAAACGCCTTTTCCGCATTTTAAGACAAAAAAGTAACAGAATATAATGAACTCTAGGATAGACTTATTTAACCATTATCTAATGACTCTTTATCCTTTTAAATAACAAAAGGTTACTCAAATATGGCTCCATATTGTAACATAAGGCAATGGGTTCTATATGGAACAAGATACAGAAATGTTTTAACTTCCACATTAGGCATCTTTTAAGGCAACCAACTGCTAGAATTAAAATTTTTTAATTAAGAAAACCACGGGCCCTGGCCGGGGTGGCTTGGTTGATTGGAGCTTCATCCCATACACTGGAAGGTGGTGGTTTGATTCCCAGTCAGGGTACATATCCAATCTGTGGGTTCAATCCCTAGGATGTGTGCGGGAGGCAACCAATTAATGTTTTGCACATCAATGTTTCTCTCTTTCTCCTTCCCTTCCTGAGATCACTAAAAAAATTAAAATAAAATAAATAAGAAAACCTCGGTACTCACCTGATATCAAGTACCCCTTAAGCCGTGGAAGGAGAGTTTCTGGATCAATTAGAGTGAGTTTGCCTAGACATTCAGCAACAACATTTCTGGTTCCTTCTTCTGCACACTCACAGTGCTTTAGCAATAAGGCCCAGATGTTTTCAACATATGGTTTAAGGCCCACCACTGATGCAGAGCTAATAATTTCCTTCAAGGAATGAAGCAGTAGATACTGCCTTTTGGGCTGACTGGTTATTTCTTGTAAGACAAATGGTAGATATTCAGGAAGGTTGCCCACGCTAATGCTGCCTAATGCGTAAGACGCAGCTGACTTGACTTCTTCACTGGGAGACGAGAAGGCTTCTAATATTACTGATTTCAGTTCCAGTTGCCCGCTTAAGTCAATGTGATGCCCGACTTCTCCAAGAGAAAGTAGAGCTAAAAGACGAATAGAATCTGTAGATCTTGAGTTCTTGACATCTTGAATAAACTGACCTACCACAGCTGGTCCTTCTTTAGGACATGCTCGAGTAAGGGCAGCTACACATTTGGCAATGGAATAATAGGACTGCTTGTGAGTAAGAGCTGTGCTCTGAGAATAAACTGGACCGGTCAACATGCGCAACAAATCCATGTATCCTAGATTATTTGTTCCAGTGACGACCAGGGCCTGGAAAAAGTCTAGCATGGCACTGAGAGCACCCCCCTGCAATAAGGGTGATCTCACAAGTCCAATAAGTTCATTGAGAATGGATCCACTTATCTTTGAAAGGGAGGAGGGATACACTTTTGCCAGTGTGGTAAGAAAACTGATAGCCATCTGTGAAACATGCATATCGCTTTCACTGATAAGAGGTGGGAGCTCATCTAGAACTGCATCAATCATGGCAGCTGTCAAGCTGTCGCTATAGTTTTTAATTAGAATATCTAGGGCAGAAAGAGTGCCCAGTTTCAAAGCTCTCTGGTTTTTCCTGAGAAATGAAGCAAGGATAGGAACTCCTTCTCCCAGGACAGGCCTCAAATCTATCTTCAAAGGTGACCCAGCAATCAGTGTCAACGCCTTCACTGTAGTTAACCGGGTAATTTCATTCTTTAGTCTCTCCAAGAAAATCTGAAGTGTATTAGGCAAGTCAGAACCCAAATTGTCTCCAAGGTTGCAAATAATTTGTCCCATACAGGAAATAGCCCTTTCCTTGACTTCTTGATCAATATCAGCTGCTTTTAACCTCTTAATGGTACAGGTAAATAGATCTTTGATGTAAGGAGTTGCATCAAACGAGGAAGGCTGATCTAAGGGACGAATTACTTTGACAAGTTGTTGCGTAACAAGAAGTGCTTCAGATGTAATCTTGTAAAATGGGTCTCCAACACAAGCCACCACTGGAGGGACCAAAGCCTGAACATGAGGATGGAAGACTTGAGGAGAGTGATTACAGAGGATTACATATAGACACGACAAAGCATCGATCTTCAAATTTGATGAGCTTGATTTGTCATTCAATGAGAAAATGATTCCTAAAAAGCCAATAAAAAAAATCACAATAATTTTTATGTAATTACATATACATATAGTTTTATGAAAGAAAAAATTAAAAACTAATCCTTAAAATATTGCTAGTTCCCACTTCATCACATTATCGCTAAAGTAGTAGAACTTCCACAATCTGATATCAGAGCCAAAAATTTGAGGATAATATTTAACATTTTACTTGCAAATTTCTAACTTTAGGTATTCAAAACGGTTCTATAACAAAGTTTAGTTCTATGTACAAATTTAGTTGTCACAAATTATCCTTTGGAAGGAATCATTTAAGCTTACCTAAGTCTTAATAAAGTCAATATTAAGTTCCAAAAGTGATATATTATTTCATTCATACCTGGTACAAGAACAGGAATATGCTGTGTTAGGGCCCCAGGTAACACATTTACCAGTTCAGTTAACATGTTAAAACAGCACTGTCGGGTCTTTACACTTTTTTCTTTCATCTGTTTGTGCAGAGCTTTAACAATGTTGGGAACCTGTAATTATCACACACTCATTAGCTGTTTTAACTACTGATATTGCTTCAGTACACTTAACACAAATTACAGGAGATGAGGAGAAAGGGAAGAACTCATTTTTTTTGGTTAAATTCCTAATTCTTCTAACTGCTAACAAGACTGTTAGATACAAACTTTGTTACATAAATTCCACTCTCTTGTAACTGTATTTGCTTGATACTGATAGAGAAAAATAGCTTTCTACTGAGTAACAAAATAGTCTTCCTCGATTAATTTTTAATTATGAAATGCACAAGACTAAAAATAAATCGAACCAAATAGTAAAATTTTTAACCAAAATATTCCTGGCATAATTTGTAAATGGCTTTTTTGAACATATATAACACAGAAAAGCATTAAAGGAAAAAAAACAAATTATGGAGATACCATCAAATGAGTCCTCTTTTTTGCTTTTAGTTTGCCATTACAATGAAATCAACCTAATTTCAAATGGAGCTACAAGCAGCAGGGGCTTGATTTAAAAAATGTATGCGTGAGCCTGGCTGGCATGGTTAAGGGGTTAAGCATCAATCTATGATCCAGGAGATTTCAGTTCAATTCCAAGTCAGGGCACATGCCCAGGTTGCAGGCTCGATCCCCAGTAGGCCACCGGTGTGCAGGAGACAGCCAATCAATGATTCTCTCATCATTGATGTTTCTATTCTCTCTCCCTCTCCCTTCCTCTCTCTGAAACCAATAAAGACATATTAAAAAAACAACACATATATATTTTTTTAAAAGTATGCTTCTAAACTTTCTATACTAATGTTCTGTTAGTAAAACCTAAATAAAATATTTATTAATAAATCTTATGAATACCAGGATACAGCCACATATATCGAACAATGATTTGAGAACTATGGACAATAGAAAACACCTATCTAGTTAATCATAGCATCATCAGAATTTCCTGTGATTTTACCTAACTTCTATACACTTATTCAATTGCTTATGTCACCCATATACTTTATCTTATTTCTTTCTATAATTAATCTTCAATGTTCACCTTTAGGCTCACCACATTTTTCAAAACTTTGTACTAATTGAAAACAAGATATGGTATATACATCCACCCCTCTAGTTTAGTTGTTTAATCTGGCTCACATGTTTTGTAATCCATAAAAATGGACAAATATGCACCCATTGGGCTGCCATAGGGATTACATATATGATAGGAAAATGCTTAGCATGTACCAAATAGGAGCTATATAACTATAATATTTAGGATCTTAGAAAAGATGAGCTAAAGTGAAAATGTGTTTTATTAATAAGAGCTGCCATTTATAAAAATACTTACTATATAGAAGGCACTATATTAAATGTTTACATAGATAATTTCTTCTATCACTACCCTGGGCAGACAGTTCTAAGTAAACTCTTATTACAAATGAAAAAAGTGAGGTTTAATAAAATGAATAAATGATGTCTTCAAGATCACACAGCTACATTAGGAGTGAAGCCAGTTACCACTGCAAATAGTCTGACTCGAATGTTCTAAGGTTTTCCATTAATATCAACGATAAAAATTACTTTACTGAATCATAAAATTATTTTAATATTATTTATCCACTAAAATCAAGAATACTTCAATCAAACTATTTACAAGTAACATAATATGAACACACATAAACTACTGTACAAACATATTCCAGAACATGGTTTCACTCAAGATGTTCTGGAACTCACATTTCCACATTAAAAATACAATTTTAAAGAACTCATCTACTAGTATGACTTTCAAAACCATACTTTTAAACTGACCTGACTCTGAAGCATTGTTAAAGGTGTTTCTCCCTGTTCCATTGCATCAGGGTCACACAGCCAACTTTGTACAGGACGAGTTTGCTTCAAAAGAGAAAGGTATGCGTGAAAAACATCTGCCTTTACATTTTCTTCACGCTCTTTAAATCTGGATATCAGTGCAGGAGAGACGGTCTTGTAGAATTCTGCAAGCATTTCATGCCTTGTGCTAACTACAGCATCCAAGCACTTAGCAGCTGCACGTCTCACTTTCCAGCTCATGTCATCATCATCACTGTATTCATCATCACTCCCTAAAGAGAAGTTTTAACGTTAGGTTATTAATCATAGGAAAAGTTTATTGTTTAATACAGGAAGTAAATTCATAATTAAGATAGTTTTCTAACTTTTCACTAGCATATACAGCAGTGGATAAGTTTATAAAGAACTAGAACTTAAACAGATCCAGTTAACTTTGATAAATTTACACATAAATTAACCTCTAAATAAAAACGATCATAATTGTGTTTTTAATTTGTTAAACATTTTCTCATTTACAGTGAGTAATGAGCTGCTTATTAACCCTTTAAAATCATTAACACATTAAACTTTAGAATATAAATATTTGTAAAATCAAAAATGCCCCAGGCTTTTAAACAATATGAATAAAAGTTCAAAATCAAACAATCAGGGAGTTTATAAGATAATCCATGAAAAAGACTTGTGGTTATAATTGATGTGATAAGAATGGCTATCAATCCTAGAACAATCTATAGAACTAATTCTCTGAGGAGAAAAAGTATTCTGACATCAGCTTTCTTTGTGACAAGACTTTTCACTAAATTTGTTAATGAGGGGGTTATTAGGAACAAATATGTATGTTCACAACCTTTCAAGATACTGTCTTAATGTAGTTTAAAGAAACTACACTGTCTCAATCATAACAAGAAAATTCTGCCCATGTAACAACAGAGCACCATCTTCTCCATACTTCTATTAAGACTTAAAACAATATTTCAACCATAAGCATTAACAATTCCATCTCATTTATGTATACTTGATAAATTTTGTGTGTGTGTAATCTTTGAAAATTATTTCTCCCTAACACCACCAGGATGAATCAGTTGGGTAAAATGAAGTCAGGAGGATGGCAAAAATATTAGCAATTCTCAGTGCAGTCCAAAATTATCTAACAACAATTTTGCTATTCTTAGATAAGACTAAAGCCGTGAAATGATTCCTCATTGGGGGAAAAAGATATCTCATCATTTACTTATACCCCAATTAGCCAGTGAAAGCTAAATGTAGCCTTAAAAAACCCTAGGATATATAATAAAATTGTCCAATCTCCAAAAGGTTTACTTAATTTCCTCTTAACACATTATAGGAAAACACAACTGAATACTGCTAAACCCAAGGCATCTGATCTATTTACCAATACCTATTTGAATAAAAATTACAAGGTACTATCAAAGCAAATAAGTGAAGTTTTTCTCATGGTAACTGAGCTATGAGAATAACTTTGCAGGAATATACTTTATTTAAAAAAAGGTTATAGCCCAGCCAGGTGTGGCTCAGTGGTTGAGCACTGACCCAGGAACCAAGCGGCCAAGGTTCAAAGTTCGATTCCCGGTCAGGGTACACGCCCAGGGTTGTGGGCTCAATTCCCAGAGGGAGCATGCAGGAGGCAGCTGATCGATGATGTTTCTCTCTCATCGATGGTTCTATCTCTCTATCCCTCTCCCTTCCTCTCTCTCTAAAAATCAATAAACATATTTTTAAAGAAGTTATAAAAATTCAAACATCCTAATCACTGAAATTATAATATATAACTGACAAAAGCAGCTGAAATTGGTTTATTTTTCAATGTAAGCACACTAAAAGCCAACAATAAAAACCTGGAACATATACTGCTACAGTCCTTTCAAAGGATATTTCTATTGGGAGCTAAGATTTCCCTTCATTAATACAACGCATTTATTAAGTGCCTACTGTGTGTCAAGCACTGTCCCAGGCACTGGGATAAAGCAATCGATAAACTAAAATTAAAACCTCTGCATTCATGACGCTTACATGTAAGGTGGAAAATAATTACAAAATGTCAGAAAGTGATTAAGTGTAATGAAGAAAATAAAAATGCTAAAAAGAGTATAAAGTAAGGGAAAAGCCCTGAGATGGGGTGAGGGGAGAGAAAAGTGAGAAAAAGTAATCAAGTATTATAACCCCAAAGTTTTTGGCCTGAGGAACTAAAAAAGAATGAAGGTGCCATTCTGAGATGGAAAAGGCTAAAGAAAAAGGTCAGGAAGGGGATGGAAGGAAGGTAGGAAGAAGATATTTTAGACATCTAAGCAGTAAATCAAACAGTTGTATATAAGAACCTGGAATTCACAGTAAAGATCTCAAATAAAGATAAAATTCGGATTTTCAACCAGAAGACTAGACGACATCAACAAGAATATAAGAGTATAACAGAAAAGTCCAAGGACTGAGCCCCAGAATAGTCTGAAGTTCAGTGGTCGGGGTGATGAAGATGAACCAGTATGGAGACTAAGGAGGAGTAATCACAAAGACAGTACTAGAACCAGGAGACTGTGGATGGTATCCCGAATGTTAAAAAAAAGAAATGCTGCTGAGACTGAGTAATAGGCAGAGTCAAACATTCGAAGCCACTGGCAATATTGTTCATCACTGGAAAACTGGATTCAAGAGGGAAGGAAAAGAAAGGAACTGGAAAGCATTCTTTTAAAGATTTCTGTTGTAAAGGAGAGAAACTGGGCAGTAGTGGCTAGAGCATAATATGGGATTTTAGAGGAGTTTTTGTAAGTTGTTTTTGTTTTGTTTTGTTTTTGTTTTTTTAAATATATCTTTATTGATTTCAGAGAGAGGAAAGGAGACGGGGAGAGAGAGAGAGAAACATCAATGATGAGAGAGTCATTGCTCGAGCCTGCAACCTGGGCATGTGCCCTGACCGGGAATCAAACCCCAATCGCCTGGATCCGTGGTCAACGATCAACTGCTGAGCCATGCCCGGACAGGCTTGTTTTGTTTTTAAAAGATTAATGAAATTACAGGCTTTAGAGGAAAGCCATTATGTAAATTCATTCAAAGAATCAAACTAAAAAGTATTATAAAATATAACAGGACCTTGGCCAATGTGGCTCAGTTGGCTGGAGCGTCGTCCTGTACACCAAAAGGTGGCAGGTTCAATTCCCAGTCGGGGCACGTGCAGGGGGAGGCGGGACGGGGCAACTGATTGATGTCTCTCTCTTTCTCTCTTTCCCTTCCTATCTCTAAAATCAATAAAAAAAATAACAACAGGAAATCCACCAACCCATATAACTAGTAACTTACCCATTTAAACATCTCTATTATGATTCTTGGAATACAAGCAAACAACAAAACATGAACAACCCCTACATCCTTGAAGTGCTACTCCTTTCCAGAGTAAATACAATTCACACAGCATGACATCAATTTTAAGAGCCTCAGAAATGTTTAAATTATTCATGAATAACCTAAAGTTAAATGGAGCCTCAAACAATATTTAGGATTTTTCATGAAAGTAACTATGTATAAAACCAACCACAATGCTCTAAATATGTATATCTACTGGTATAATTATAAAAATAACATTCATTTCCCTCCTTACCAAAACACTTTGTAAGAAATCTGAAGAACAAAAATCATTTATAATTGCTAGCCATGAGAAAAATACTAGTTCCATTTTTTTCTATTATTAAAAAAATTTGTTTAAAAAAAACCCTAAAAGGCCCAAAATGGCATCATTGGTGCCAAAAGCCCATGATACCAAACCTAAATTTAATACCTGATCTAACTGCAGTTCCACCCTTTACCAGAAACATAATCTTAATCAACTAGTATGGAATATTCTGGCCAAGCACCAGTAAAGTAACCTCTCACAGGAATAAGAGGCAAGCTACATAAACGAAAACAATTCCCCTAAGAAAAGGTGTCCAGGCCCCAAAATAACCCTTTCTTTTCTTTCATAATAATTCCCTTGCCCCTCCTTTTCTTCTTATAAAATCCTTCTATTTTGTACAACCCTCAGCCCTTCTATTTCCTACTAGATTTATGAATCCCTTAATTAAAACCAATCCAATCTTTGAATTTACTGGGCTGAATTTTGTTTTTTAATGAAATAAAACTGGGACACAGTAATTTCTGTTACCCACTTTTCCACTCAACTTATTAACTGCTTTAATAAATATTTTTCTAGAACATGATTTTGAAAATATTGCATAGCAGTTCAATACATGGATGCCCCATAATTTAATCAATTTGCTATTATTGAATATTGAGGTCATTTCCATTTTCACTATTATAAATAATAAATATACAAATAGTACAATTTGGGGTAAGAAACCAACTCCATCTTGAATACTGGTCTTTTATGATTACAAATAATTTTCTTCTACTTAATTTGAAATACCTTGGTCATCATCATCACCACCATCTGCATCCATGGCATTTTCATCTTCATCTTCGTCATCATAATTATAATTCGGATCATAGGTAAGATATTTAAGACAAATATTTATAATGGTAGAAACATGAGGATATACTTCCTTAGGACATCTGAAGAAACAAAAACTGTCTTAAGTAACTGAACTTTTCTCTCCTTGATTCAGTGCCTGCCACATTTTGCTTTGTTACCAAATTTTTTCCTCCCCTTTAATAGAGCATAAAAAAGTGGACCCCAGTCTTTTCAACACCAATGACCCTACATCTTTCTCTCCCATTGGCTCCATTTCTAAAAGATTTACTTTTCAAATTACTTATATCAATTTTAAAATAAACTTTAACCTTCACATTTTAAAATCTCTGAAGTCAGAATGATTTTTAGGGTTAACGTGGAGTAGTATAGAGAGAAATTTGTATACAGTAGTCCCCCCTTATCCATGGGTTATATGTTCCAGACCTCCGCAGTCTGTACTGCAGACAGTACTGAACCCTATCCC